CTTTTTCGTTTAAAAGTTTATAATCATATTAGTTCGAACGAAATTCACCGAGGCTGGCAACAACTCGTTCCATTTTTTTCTCTCTCTCTCTCTCTCTCTCTCGTACGTACTCCATTGTGGAAACTTTTCTTACATAACATTGAAAAATATACGAAAGGTGAAAAGAATTAAAAGGGTAAAAGGGGAAAAAAAAAGGAAGGAAAAAAAAATAAGAGGAAAAGAAAAATTAATAAATAAATTTAGGTCGCAATAATTATATAACCAACGTCGATATCAAATGGTACTTAAAACGAATACAATCGATCCTTCAATTACAGGCAAGTTACTATACAGAGAAATTTATTATCACGAAATATGAAATTGATTTGGTTTATTGTATAAAAAAAAAAAAAAGTTTGATAATTAAAATTAAAATTTACTTTTCTTTCTTTTTCTTCTCTCTCTCTCTCTCTCTCTCTCTCTCTCTCTCTCTCTCTCTCTCTTTCTTTTCTTTTCTTTTTTTTTCTTTTACCGACATTAACCTTAAAAAAAAAAAAAATAAGTCCAATTTATTGAAAATATTTCTATTACTAAATATGATAATTTTTTTTTGTAATTAATCACGATCTTTCGTTATTGTCTTTTATACTGATTATAATTTTTAACGTGGAAAAGAAAAACAAAAAAAAAAAAAAAGAAAAAAAGAAAAAAAAAAGAGAGAAGGAAGAAATTCATTCGAGAATTTATTTCAAAAATATATTTCGATTTCTAGATATTAATACTTCGATAACAATGGATTAAATAATATATTTTGCACATCATTATAATTCTTATTTTTAATATTATATACATTTGTATGTTTGTGTGTGTGTATGTAAAGTATAATTATTATGATTATTATAGAATTATTATTTCATAATTATACAATTATAACTATTTTTTTGTTTTAATTTAATAATGATTTAATCGTTATAATTTTAACATTTATATCTTTAATATTTTCAATTATTTAATTATTACAATTCTATTACTATATTTTAATTATTTTATTATTACAATTTTATTTCTACATTTTAATTACTTAATTATTACAATTCCATTATTACTTATTTAATTATTATAATTATATTTTAATAACACTAATAATAATAATAATAATAATAATAATAATAATAATAATAATAATAATAATAATAAAAAAGGGAAAAAAAAATTTTTGTATTATCCTAATCAACCAAAATTTTTTCTCATCTGTTTAATATGCGTTCGAATTAATACTAAGATCTCTCTACCTCTCCTTCTCACTCTCTCTCTCTCTCTCTCTCTCTCTCTCTCTCTCTCTCTCTCTCTCTCTCTCTCTCTCTCTCTCTCTTCTCTTTATCTATCTATCTATCTAACTTTCTCTCTCTTTCTTTTTCTTCGTCGAGTTTTCTTACGTAATAAGTCGAAAACAAAAGAAAACTCAAAGAAAAGAGTAAAAAAAGGATGGAGAAACTCTTCCTCTCTTTCTCTTCCTCTTCGTTGTCGTCGTCGTCGTCGTCGTTGTCGTTGCCCCACAGCTTTCTAATTACAACAGGGCTGCTACGGCGCTAATAAAGTGAATTTCAACGTTTGTTTTTCCACGTGTTGTGTTAGCCGTCGTGACGTACAGTAATAGTAGTAGTAGTGTAAATTGTAGTAGTAGTAGTAATAGTAGTAGTGTAGTAATAGTAGTGTAGTAGTAGTAATAGTAGTAGTGTAGTAATAGTAGTGTAGTAGTAGTAATAGTAGTAGTGTAGTAATAGTAGTGTAGTAATAGTAGTGTAGTAATAGTAATAGTAACAGTAGTAATAGCAGTAGTAGTAGTAGCAGTAGTGTAGTAGTAGTAATAGCAGTAGTAGTAGTGGCAGTAGCAGTAGTGTAGTAATGTAGTAGTAGTAGTAGTAGTAGTACATCAAACGAGTCTTGGTTGATATCGACCCCACTTACGAGAATTAACACAACCACCAACGAAATCCGAGGATCTTTTCCTTGGATCATTTAAGCAAAGATCCATGATTTGTCTAACGTAATTGTTTGCCACTATTACTATTACTACTACTACTACTATTATTATTATTATTATTATTATTATTAATATTATTATTATTATTATTATTATTATTATTATTATAGCGATATCGTCATCGAGGGGGAAAAAAGAATTTCTATGAAAATATATAACCAAGAAATACGATATGTTTTAACGCTATATTTGTGATGGCATGTGTATGTATGTGTGTTTGCTTTTTGTTTGTGTTGTATGTTTGTATTGTATGTTTGTGTACACATAATAAAGAATATTTTTATTTAATTCTTTCTCTTCCTGTTGTTTCTTTCTAATCATTCGATATTGTTACGCAAATATTAGCATGGTGATATCATGGGGTGGGGGAAAAAAAAATGTTTAAAACGAAAAATAATACGTTTGCCTATGAAATATGATGCTTTAACGTTTTATATATATTAAAAAATTTGTTTATTTTTATTAAATTTTTTTTTTCTCTCTTTACTTCCTTCTTTCTTTCTTTCCTTCGAAATATGTGACGTGTATACCATAATTATATCGAGAATAACAAATTTTTTAGGATAACAAATATGACGAAATATTTACCTAAGAAACACGATATGTTTTAATCCTGCATATCTCTCTCTCTCTCTCTCTCTCTCTCTCTCTCTCTATTTATCTATCTATCTCTCTCTCTTTCTTTCTCTCTCTCTGCGTGTGTGTGTGTACATAACAAAGAATATTTCTACAAATTTTTTTGTTTCTTTTTTCTTTTTTCCATTCTTTCTTTCTTCCTTTCTTTCAAATTATTCGATATTGTTGTACACGTGAAATCGTAGCGAAACAAAAAAATTAAAACAAAATGTCTACCTATGAATACAAAATGTATATCTATGAATACAAAATGTCTACTGTATACATATATATATATATATATATATATATATATAAATAAGGAAAAAAAATATCTCGAATTATCCTTTTTTTCCTCTCTCTTCAATCTTTCTAAAATTATTCAAAATTGTTACGTGAATTTGTTACAAAATAAAAAAAAGAAAAAAGAAGCCAAAGAAACAAACAATATGTTCCCATACTATCATAAAAAGTGTCCATAAGAAATATCTTGAAGAATATTTTTCTACAGAATTGTACCAAATTTTTTCGAATATTTTTTTTTGTTAAAAATTTACATTTTATACGTACATACACATTTATATATATATATATATATATATATATATATATATATATATATACACACATATAATTTTCATGCAGCTGTGAGTCAGCTACAAAGTGCACATAAAAAAAGTATCTAATATTTCTTTTCTTTCTTTCTTTTCTTTTTTTCTTCGTAATCCTCCCGAATTACGAAGTTAACATTGTTTTTCTTTTTTAAATCATACCTAATAAAAAAAATAAGAAATTACTCAATATGATGTATTTATTAATTATTAAACGTATAATCTAATAAAAAAGCTTTGAAAAAAAAAAACAATGGGACACATTTATTTTGAAACGACGAAACATTAGAACAACAAACTTAACCTAATTATTTTTATAATTTCCAATTCGCACATCGATTCTCGATCATATATATATATATATATATATAGACATATACATATATACAAGAAATAATAATGATAGTAATAATACTAATGGCTTGCACACGAGATGTATGAAATTTGTAGAAAAAGAAAATCAAAAAAAGGGGGGAAAAAAAGATTAAAGAAAGAAAAATTCTCCACGCAAGATGGACCATTCGTCTTCGGGTTTTTTTTTTCCTTTCTTCGACGTCGATTCGAAACATTTTCTCTTATTCGAGTTGAAAGTTCTTAAAGTACATTTTGTTAGTGGTAAAAAGTTATAAAAAAAAAAAAAAATAATAAAAAGAAAAAACGAGGGAAAGGAAACGCTCGTTTGGATTCGCCGCCATGCCACCAAAACTATGGCGGCGTACGTGAATTGCTAGAAAACGTTTTTCTATTGGTCAGTAGTTAAGTCGTACGTCAAGCCCGACGAAACTCCCCTCGTCCAACATGAGTAACTAAGTAAGTAGAGAAAACTCAAACGGTAAAGAGAGATGTCGAGAGAGACAGAGACAGAGAGAGAGAGAGAGAGAGAGAGAGAGAGAGAGAGAGAGAGAGAGAGAGAGAGACCATTAACGGTTACAAAGTACGAAAGAATCGTTACCATTTTCTAAATTACACGAAATATTATTTTTCTAAATCGTTAAATAAATAATACGATCGTGTATTTAAAATATAAGAACAAAAAAAAAATAATGAAAAAGAAAGAAATTATTCAATTCTTAAACAGATACGTATTAAGATTACATAAATATACAATGTATAACAAATATATATATATGACATATATATAATATAATATAAATTTCATATGTATATATGTATTTATCATATCCTATATATTGCGTGTATGCGTGCTTGTTAATGGATATATATATACATACATCATGCATATATATACATATATATATATAGGAAGTGATGAAACGTTGCCTCGACCTTGAGAATACATGAGATATTCAAAAGCTCTTTATAAAAGACGACTCTTCTTAGACGATAGTGTAAGGTGATATTCGATACGACAAGATTATCGTAAAAAAAAACAAAGCTCATTCTTCTTTTATCAAGCGCATCTTTAAGATTCGAAAGAACGTTTGGAAAAGTAATTTGTAAAGTGAACGAAGAAGAAAATGAAATAAAATTAACGAAAAAAAAAAAAAAAAAAAAAAAAAAAAAAAAAAAAAAAAAAAAAAAAAAAAAAATTAAAAAGATATTATTCGATCAACTATCCTTTTCATTTGCATTTTCTTCGGAAAATAAATAAATAAATAAATATATACACATACAAACATACATACATACATACGTACATACATATATATATATACATATATATATATACACGTAGAATAAAGAAGAAAAGCTTGGAGCTATGTACATAAGTAGTAAACACGTACCTGTACCTGGTCGGGCCGACTCAAGGTCAGGTCACTAGGCCGTGGACACACACGACGTATGCTTTTCTTGCGCTTAGCGTGACGATGATCACGACGATGATAATTATAATGACGATGGTGTTCAATAAAGATGAGATAACAGGTACGGTATTGATGATGATGATGATGATGATGATAGTGGTGGTGGTGGTGGTGGTGGTGGTGGTGGTTATGGTGGTGAGTTCTGATACTGGTCCTATCTTCTTCTTCTTCTTCTTCCTTATCCTCTTCCTCTTTCTCTTCTTCCTCTTCGTCTCCTTCCACCCCTTCCTCCTTCTCTTTCTCTTTCTCCTTCGTCTTAAATACACTTGGCTTAACTTCGATGTTCAATATCTTTCACTGAATAATAAATGTACCAAATGAAAATAATCTCGTAATATATTGAATAATAATCAAGGAACATCGTAAACCAATGTGTAATCGGCCCCTTGTAACAACAAAGCGAAAAACTGAGGGAGAATCATTGGACGTACAGGTTATGTACGCGAGCGCTTGCTTTTCTCCCAAAGGGTTGTAAAGCTCGATTGATGCTGAGGAAGATGAAGAGTGTGTGTATGTATATATATATATATATATATATATATATATAAAAGAGAAAGGGAGAGAAAGAGAGAGAAAGAGAGAGAGAAAAAGAGAGAGAGAGGGAAAGATTGAAATAAAGGATTGAAAAAAAGAAAATGATAGGAAAACGAAATAAAGAAATAAGGAAAGGAAGGAAGAAAAGGAATAGGATAGAAAAAAAGAAAAAAGATAAAAATTCGTATAAACCTTTAACACCAACACCACTATCGCGTCGTTGTTACGTACAAACACACTGACAACAATCCCGTTAAACTCGATTGATTTAATTGTACTTGTTTTAGGGGAAAAAAAAAAAAACAACCAAAGATTCCTGTGATAAGCGCGCTACTTGATATGTTTAAAAAAGCCTTAGTCGTGGGTCAAAGACCGATGGACGAATTTAATTCCCTCGGACCGACCAGCTCCGAGCCGCTCGAGCTACGCCGACGTACTGCCGCGGGATCCGTTTCTCGCGCGGAGTAACATCCCCACTACTTCTCTATGTCGACCGCGCGACACCTCGGAGCACGCACCTCTCCTTCTTAACCGTCACCTCACTCTCTCCCACTCTCTCTCTTTCCCCCCGCCACTCACTATCTCACTCCCACCTTTCGCCGCTGGCTCTATCCTCCCTGCTCCCCACTCTTGCCACCTATTACAACCACCGATACCTATCGGCTACGAGACCCGCGCAACTACGCTTTCCATTTCTGCTCATGCGCGTTTAACAAATTTCCCTTCTTACTATGAAATACGAAAAATCGTAGGATCACCTTCCTTCTTCTTCTTCTTCTTTTTCTTCCTTTTTTTTCTTTTTTTCTTGCTTTCTTTCTCCGTCTTCCTTTCCTTCATTGGAAACAAGAAAAAAATAATAAAAAAGAAAAAAAAAGAAGCAGAAAAGGAGGAAGAGGCGAGAAAAAAATTTTCCCCTTTAACTCTACGAAAACTCTTCGCGTTTAGATATGATACGTTTACTTACTTAGTTACTTACTTGCTTGCTTGCTTGCTTGCTTGCTTGCTTGCTTGCTTGCTTCTCCGGATTGGCTCGTGAAAACAAATTAAGACGACAAATATGGCGCTATTTGTTAGTAAATAATTCAAACAATCATAATCGTCGATGATGTTTTTAACGAATAAAATATGAAAAAAAAAAATTATATGGTTACCATTTCATATCGGATAACGTTACTTATATTTCGATTGTCTATTAAGAACAATGCACTATCAAAAATAAACATTTTAAATTTATTGAATTTCGATTAATTGTAATAAATTAAAATATTTGAATGAAATGAGAGAGGAGGATTTCAACGTGACGTCATAAAGAAAATTTTCAACATAGAATTGAGAACGTTCGAATCTATACGATTTATTTTTTTGTTACTTTTTTAACTTTTTGTAATATCGTGAAAAAAGAAAAAAAAAAAAGAAAATTACGATTTCTTACCGATTCGTTCGCGATACGCATGCGCGCATAAGCGTACACGCAGGTATTATACGTTTACATCGATACGCGGGATAAGCGACGCGCGCCACAACATTCTCGACCAATCAGAAGCGACGTTCGTTTCGTCGACGACGATGCAAAATCGATAAGCAGTAGCCACCACGCGTTGCACGGTGATATACAGCGCCCTCTAACCTTTCGTCTCTCTTACTCACTCACATATACACTCTCTCTCTCTCTTTCTCTCGCTCACTCTATCGCTCCGTCTCTCTTATTGGTGGCCGTTTACATCCGTACGCCTCCCACCCGAACGCATTGCGAGACACGTGATCACACGTGACGCGTCTAGCGACACCGTGCGTAAACGCAACGTACGTTTCTACCAAGAGAAAGAGAAAAAGACCGATAGAAATAGAAATAGAGATAGAGATAGATAGACGTCGCGTCGTTATAAAATACGACGACATTCCTTCTATATACCTGACAATTCGTTGTCTGTGTTCGTACACTAGCTATATATCTATATATGTTGTATATATATATATATATATATATATATATATATATATATATATGAAACCAGTGAGAAAGAAGAGAGAACCTTAATGACGAATCGATATAATACGAATATACGATATCGTACGATTGTGACATCTAACACAAATGATACGAAGTAACTAACTGCAATATCTAGCTTTGACCTAATCCGTAAGTACCAAAACAAAACCGTTATCTTTCTCAATATGTATATATATATAAAAAAAAAAAAAAAAAAAAAAGGAAAAAAAAAGAAAGAAAAAAAAAAAGAAAAAATAATAATAAAACGTTCGGAATTGAATAATAGATTAAACGTCAGACAGGATTTATCGATAAATGTCATTGTCTATTTGATTAATTCGTTCTAGTGTTTTTTTTTTTTTTTTTTCTTTTAGTATTCTTTTCTTTTTTTTTCTACACGTTACTCTTTTTCTCTTTTTCTCTATCTAACTTGCTCGCTCGCTCACTCACTCACTCACTCGCTCACTCTGTCTGACATGTTACGTTTAGAAACTTTTTCTTTTTTCAAAGCTAACCTAATCGTATAATCGAAGACACGTCCATATTGATTCTAAGTCGATCGGAACAAATGTATTCAAATTCGTTGATTTTAATCTTATAATAATAAACGATTATTATTATCAATATATATATATATACACACACACATATATACATACATATTTATATATATATATAATTATATATAATATATATTAATATATTTATTATAGATATAAATATGTATATATATATTTATATATATTATAGATATATACGTATATACACATATATATATATATATATGCACGCTATTCGGTTAATAATCGTTATTCAAAATAACGTCCAAATTTTGGCGCGAAATCGAATCACGCCTATCTCTATCTCTTTACGGAAGGATTAAAGTATGTGACCTAGGTGGCGCCACCGTATATACCGAAAACAGAAAGCCAAACCGGTCATGGGGGGCTAGTTAACGACTGTACGCCGCGCTTGCGAATACACGGTATTTTTCGCTAGTTGGTGGTCCGCGATATACATACATACATACATATATCAGAGACTTTCGGAACATCACGGGAAAAAGCAAAGCATCGGGCTTTTTTTTTCTCTCTATCTCTCTCTCTCTCTCTTTCTCTTTCTCTCTCTCTCTCTCCCTATCTTTCTTACTCTTTCTCTCTCTCTCTCTCTCTTTCTCTTTCTTGTACTCACTCACTCTCTCACCTCTCACCGAGCGTGTTTTTTTTTTTTTTTTATAAGATGGGAGGCATGGGAGCGTATATGTCGAAACCCATTACAAATAAGATTTCAACCGACGAAGTTGGAAAAAATGTTGCTTTCGGCGCGAGTTCGATGCAAGGTTGGCGTATCAGTCAAGAGGTAAGAAGACGAAGAAGAAGAGGAACCTATATAGAAACCGTTGAAAGTGAACTATGTGTGGTGGTTGCACCGTTACTCTCTTGCTTACCGATTATTATGTATAATGATTTTAATACATGTGAAACAATACTTTATCGACCGGCATCGGTTATTATTATTTATTATTTTATCGTATAATACGTACGTCAGTATATATATTGTTGTTAACATTTGAAAATTTATTTCTCTTAAAAAATATATATATATATATATACATATATATATATATATTTGTGTGTGTGTATGTGTGTGTGTGTGTACGTTTCGTGTGTGTACATGTTTAATAGTAGTAATGATAAATAAAACGGAATATCGGCCTTTTTAGATTTAAATACGATGTTATAACTCGTATATATTCTTACTCATTATAAATCCGCATATCATATATTTGAATATTATTGATGAGATTGTGAGAATCGAATATGATTGAATGAGATATTTATAACACGTTTTTGAATCGATGAACTATATCATTTATCATTATCACTTTGGATTTTACGTTCATTAATTTTCTTTCATTTCCCTCCTTTTTTGAAATATCGATTTTATTCTGTGATATATATATGTGTGTGTGTGTGTGTGTGTGTGTATGTGCGCGCGTGCGTGTACGTATGTTTGTATGTGTCATTTAACCGATTATTATCTATTACAATTATTTCTTTAAATATATATATTTTATATATATATATATATATATATATATATATATATATATGCATGTACATCATATGTGCATTTTGTATGTGAAGTTTATATTTTCAGAAATGGTTTCCAAAGCTCTACGTTTTCTTTTTCTTTTTTTTTATTTTATTTGTTATCGTTCGTTAGATTCCTCGATATTAGGAAATATTAGATATCCTATATTTGATTTAGTTTATATAAGAATAATATTAATGGATTATTATAATCTATCATTGTTTTTTCTTTTTTTTTTTTTTTTTTTTTACATTTAAATTAAGATGAAATTGTTTAATAATATTTCTTATTTATTTATTTATTTATAGGATGCCCACAACTGTTGTATAGACTTTGACAAAGATGTTTCCTTATTTGCTGTATACGATGGCCACGGTGGACATGAGGTAGCAACATATTGTGCTCGTAATCTTCCAGAGTTTATTAAACAAACCGAGGCATATAAAAGAGGTGATATTAGACAAGCATTAATCGACGCCTTTTTGGGGTTCGATGCTACACTAGCAAAACCCGAAGTAGTTAGTATTCTTAAAGAACTGGCAAGGCCATCAACTTCGGATAATAAAGAGGATGACCTTAATGACTCCGGTGCGTTATGCGTTGCACTAAGTATATGTATTATGTCAGGTTATACCTTTATGTACACGACCTTGCTCCTCTTGTATTTTCTGAGATATAGTTTATTCCAGTTATTTAATTATCCAAGGAAATATTTAATAAGGTTATCATCGTCTATTGTCTTACGCATAGATGAAGAAGAAAATGTTAGCAATCTACGTATGGAAGCAGCAATGCCATTGGATCAGGTTATAGGGAAATATCAATCAGAGGTATCAAATCCTCATCCTAACAATTTGAAAAATGAAAAATCTAACAAACGAGCTTGTCCTTATCTAAGAGGAAGAAAAGAAAAAGACAAAGCTAGTTGTTCGTCGTCGGGTGCAGGTTGTTCGTCGTCGTCATCCGCATGGAATACAAATGAAGCCGATGTGAGTAGCTCTAGCCAACCATGTGGTTCGTCTATGTCAAGCACGATGAAAAGAAAAGAATCATCTGGGAATAATGAAGCTGAACAAGTTCTTGACTCTACTACCAGCAATGGAACTGTCCATGCCTCTGTACCTGTAGTATCTACCGATGATATGGAAACAACAAAGTCTGCTGACATGCCGGATAGTTCAGAGGATGTTAAAGAAAAAGTATCGAGTCCTGGAAAGTCGGCATGTTCTTTACCTATTACAAATGAAGTTGAATTAAATGGAGCAAAATCAAAAAGAATAGAAGATGCGGATAGTAGTAAAAGTGGCGGTGACAATGTCTCAAGCAGTTCTTGTACCCCAGTAGAAAATGGAGATGCCGGACAACAAGAGAGAATAAGTAGCAGTGATCGAAGAAGAGTCCAATCGATTGAGCTTTACCAAAGTTTTTTAAAGAAAAATGATGAGGAGTCCGAAGGAGATGACGATGACGATGAAAATGATGAGAGCTTTGATGGTGTTCCCGAAAGGTATGATAATTAAATTACGTATTAAATTACTCCTTGATCATTACAAAAGAAAAAAGGAAAAGGAAAACAAAAATAACCAAATATCGAATTAAAATACGATGAAATTTTAGTGATGAAGACGACACGGAAGATGTCGACGAAGATGAAAGCGACGAGGACGAAGATGGTGAGGATGACGATGACAAAGACGACGACGACAAAGATGACGATGAAGATGATGTATTAAACATAGAAGAGGTAATATAATTTCGAATGTATCGTTGTTTAAATCGAAGGTATAAGTTTGATTTAACCCTAGTTGTCCCTGTGGGGTGTAAGATACTCAAGACCAACTTTGAGGTCAATTAAAACAATTTGTGCTAAGCACATGATTCATGATTTATATATATATAATGAAAAGATTGGAAATGTGCTTTCAAACTTAAGTTGATTATTATTTTCGAAGCTTCAAAAAATATACAGTATTTTTTTTTTTTTTTTTTTTTTTTTTTTTTCTTTTTTTTTTTTTTTTTTTGGAGTCAAAATTGTTCATTCTGTATAAATGACAGGTGTTACTCAAAGTGCCTGGGGAAATAGTGAATCCCCCAAGTGCAAACAATTTGAAATTATTTTGAGGTGTTCACAACTAGAGGATAGAAAGAAAGAAAGAGAAAAAATATAATAATAATAATAATAACAAATTTTGCATATCATTCTTTTTCTCTATAGCCAGGTTCCGACAGTGGTTGTACAGCAGTTGTCGCCATACTTAAAGAAAACGAGCTATATGTAGCGAACGCAGGTGATTCTCGATGTGTTTTGTGTAGAGACGGTCAAGCACTTGAATTGAGTTTGGATCACAAGCCCGAGGACGAGCCAGAAATGAAACGTATACGAAAAGCTGGCGGTAAAGTTACGTTCGATGGTAGAGTCAATGGTGGCCTTAATCTTTCAAGAGCTCTTGGGGATCACGCGTACAAACAGAACACAGTTTTACCTCCTCAAGAACAAATGATATCCGCACTCCCAGATGTAAGGCATATTACCATTGAACCAGAAAGGGATGAATTTATGATATTGGCATGCGACGGTATTTGGAATTTCATGTCGAGTCAGGATGTTGTGCAATTCATTAAAACGCGTTTAACCGAGAAATACGATAACATTTCAAAAATTTGCGAGGAGGTAAATTCTATTTTAATTCTAATAATAGATTCATTTTATGTGATTAAATATTAATACTAATACTAATTTCTTTTATGTATATATATATATATATTTACAGTTATTCGATCACTGTCTAGCGCCAGATACGTTAGGCGATGGTACAGGATGTGACAATATGACGGCAGTTATCGTACGATTTAAACAATCTTCCTCGTTAACAACGAACGCAACTATAACAGAAGTTTGTGTACAAGAGAAAAGATCGGTGTCACCTTCTAGCCCTAATAAAGAAAGCAACGATTGCGTTACGGAGGAAAATAGAATGCAATCTTGCAAACGTCTTAAGACAGAGGCAGCTATCTAAATTACCAATTGGAGAAAAAAAAACTGAAAAGAAAAAATGAAAAAATGAAAAAAAGAAAAGGAAAGAAAGAAAGAAAAGAAGGAAGGAAGAAAGGAAAGGAAAAAAAAAACACACACACCTACACGCACACGCACGCACACACACACACACACACATACACCCACACACACACACATGCACACGTTATATAAACTGATCTCTTCTCTCTGGAAAACAGGTGGATGAATGTGAATTCATGTCAAATGATTTATCATACTGTAAAACTGTGAATTGAACACGGATGTATGATCATTAACGTACAGTAACAGTTACTACACTAATGTGTTAAAAAGGAAGAGTGCGTTAGTGTGTTGGTTAATGGTGATAGACTGAACGATTGGAGCACATGAAGATGATACGCTGCTTTTTTTTTAACTTTGCTTTTTTTTTTGCTTTCTCTTCGCCCTCCCCCCTTCCCACCCCTCATCATGAAAAATCCGGGTATATACGCGCCCTGAGAAATTTCTCTCTTGTACTTTTATTTATCTGTTCCTTTTTTTTCTTTTTCTTTTTTTTTTCTTTTTTTGTTTTTTCTAATTTATTATTTTCTTTTTTCTTTTTTTTTTTTTTTTTTTCTTTTTTCTTTTTTCTTTTTTCTCTTTTTCGTTATTTGTCAATCAAATAAGACACGCAAAACTATCAAAAAATAACCGTTTCGACAGTAAGAAATTGATAATTTGATCCTTTAAAAATACAGTATAAATCTTAAAGCATAAAAATACAATTTTTATTTATTTATTTTTTCTTTTTCTTTTTCTCGTTACGACAATAATAATCAGAAAATGCATTGTTCTTTTATATACACACACACACATATATATATATATAAATTTCAAGTACACATAAAGCAATAAGCCGTGATTTAGGTAGTAGATGCAGTTAATTATTTCACAAAATATGAAAAGAAAAGAAAAAAAAACGAAATCACACGTCTAATTTCTTCTTAGATACATCATTCAGTTTTAGTTGACTCATTCTACTTTTCCTATATATATATATGTATATGTATATAGGGGAAAAAAAATATATATATATATTTTCTTTTTCTCATTTAATTTAGCTTTCAGCAAATAAAATTAATTGCTTATCATCTCATTTGCTCCATTTATGTTGACGAAATATGCTCTTTGAGTTTTTTTAGCTTACTTTTAATATAGTAAGTATATATGTAATTGTACATATTTATAAATTTAGGCTATAGGATTTATATTTGTAATAATTAAAAACACCACACATGCACGTATACGCACACGTATACGTTATCTCTCATACACACAACCATACGTACATATATATATATATATATACATATATATATATATACACGCATATATACATAGATCATACACAAACATAAATACACACACAGTTTCTTATTTTTACGAAATAAAGTTTATTTTTGAATCCCTGGGGTACAATGGTTGAACGGGCATAATCTCTGAGTATATAAAAAAAAAAAGTAAAAAAAAACTTTCATTGCAGAATTAAGACGTCCGCTTATCAGGTGTTATCGTTCTATGGTTTTTTTTGTATCGATGATATTGTTAACAAAGAAAGAAAAAAGAAAAAAAAATGGAATAATAATAATAATATAATAATAATAATTATTACAATATTAATAATAATATTAATAATAATAATAATAATATTAATAATAATAATAATAATAATAATAATAATAATAATAATAGTAATTTCACATTATGTTACTTTGGAAGTGCCATTGCACTTTTGTCAACGAGTTCGAACTCGTCTTTTATGTAGAAACTTATACGATTGAGAATTAAGATTTTTCAGAAACAGTATTCGATATACATAGAGAGATGCATCAATCTGAAAACTTATGTATTATATTATATTGTATTACATAAGGGCATTGCGTGAGAACTCATCATTTGTGACACATAATTATTGTGCGATAGAAATAAGAATTAAGAAACAATCATTTCTCGACAACAAAATGTAAATATATGTCGCTCTTAATTCAATTATATTCATTGATTTTATCAAAACAAACAAACAGACAAACAACAACAAAAAAAAAAGTAGAAGAAGAAGAAGAGGAAGAGGAGGAAGAAGAAGAAGAAGAAGAAAAAGAAACAACACGTGGAACGAAAGACCTAATTTAAAATACAAAAAAGCACAAAACACTATTGCAGTGCCTAATACTGTAATCGCTGTTGAAAAATTAATAACTTGATTCTCTTGTGTCGTAGAGCATTCTCAAATGAAATTGTCAATTCGGATTGACCCGACTGTTTGTAGATTTTTATAACGATACTTGTCTGCGAATCTCTAAAGTATCGATTCAGAAAATAAAACTGATGTGCCTTTTCAATTCAGGGGTTTGTCAACTTAAATGATAAGTGTACTGCGTACTCTTAAAAATCATTTTTCTTATTAAGAAGGGTTCTCTCGTACATCTCCAACCCCTTCATCATCATCACCACCTATGCCACCACCAACCACCCCCTCGCCCCATGCATTCTCTTAAACTACAAACTTCGTCTCATGAAACTTATGTACTATAGTAATATTCATAATACATGTTCAATTCAATTAGTCTCCAGTTTAATTTTTCTGTTTATTTTTTTTCTTTCTTTTTTACTTTTCTTTCTTTCATTTTTTCATTTTTCAATAAGCTCTCTTTCTCTCAATATCATGATACAATTGTGAAGGATAGTTTTGTTGTTGTTGTCCTTATTGTTGTTGTTGTTATTATTGTTGTTGTTGTTGTTGTGTTGTTGTTGCGTCTAATTGAACTTCAATTTACTGTTAAATGTTCAATCGTTTCCATTTGTTCCATTTCAATTTTTTTTAATGAGTCATACTGTATCCTCAAACGTTCTAATTCCATTGATTTCTCCATGATCAATGCCTGGAGAAAATTTTTATATTTTATTTAGAAAAATTTAAGGAAGAAAGTTTATTTAAAAAAAAAAAAACAAAAAAAATAAAAAAAGAAAAAGGAAAAATAAATAACACAGAAATTTTTTCTATGAACCTGCATTTGTTGTTTCTGCGCATCACGTTGCTTTTCAACCGAACGTAATAAATTTCGCGCGCCGATCGTTCGCATTTTTTCTTTTTCAACCTCGTTCGCCCAGTTGTCGGTCATGTCGATGAATTTATTACAATTCTTTTGAAATTCCATGATTCCTATAAAAAAAAATGGCGACGGACGAATTATACAAATAAAATAAAATAAAATAAAGGAAAAGAAAAAAAAAAAAGAAAACAGAAAAGAAAAAAAAAGGAAGATTATTGAACTTACTACAATATCGTGTGCAAAGAAATAATTGCCGATTTAAAAATAAAAAAAAAAAAAAAAAAAAAAAAAAAATAAAAATAAACAAAAAGAATTAAAACAAAACAAAAAAAGAAAAGAAAATAGGAACGAGAAATTGATAAAAATGACGGTACAATCATCGAATTTCTTTTTTTTTTCTTTTTCCTTTTCTTTTCACAAATTGATTGCAAACTAAAAAAAAAAAAGAAAAAAAAAAGAAAAAAAAAGAAGATGACAAAGATAATAATAATAAAAATAATAATAAAAATGTGTCGAGATACATGCATATATTATTTAATATAAAATGAATACAAAAATGAAAATTCCTTTTGATTTCGTAAAAAAAGAAAAAAAAAAATACTTCTTTTTTTTTTTTAAACGACCTCGGGGAATTTCGTTTTCTTTGATTCGTACTGTACCGTCTCGAGCAGCATGCATGAGACATTCTTGATCGAACCAAGTGTTATGGTAGTGAACGATAACCAACAAGTTGAAATCGTAAGAGAATTAGATCCATAATAAAGAGAATTAAAAGATCCATTGTATTGTTACGAAAAACGTGTTAAAATGTTAAAATAGGAGGATCTGCGAAAGAGAAAAGAAAAGAGAGAAAAAAAAAGCCAAAAAGAAAACACCAAAAAAACCTCCAAAAAAATAAAAAGAAAACAAAAGAAAGAAAATTAAAATCGTAGTGTCGAAAGTGTGCAAAGAAGTAGAAGAAATTTTCTCAATCGATATCATCGCTGAATACAATCAACAATCAACCTTTATTGACTTACTGGTAACGAAATTTTGACATTCCTCCTTTAATTTATTCGTCTGATTAGCTACTTCCGGTTCTAAAATACAAATCTTACTTAGATCATCAATATAAAGTCCGTACTTTGTCAAAGAATCGGCCATTCTTCTTCTCCTCTTAAACTACAAAACAAAAAACAAAACAGTGTTATTAGATTTTCGTATTATACGCATGCGTAAACTTTTGTTTTCCACCTTGGTTGCCAATGGTATTAGATTCACGTATTTTCACGATGATAATCATTTTAAAATATACATGTATACATATCAAGTAGAATGAATTTTTTGTTGCTTCAAGGAAAAACAAAAAAAAAAAAACTGAAAAATAAAAAGAAAGACAAAATTTTTATGATCGTTCGTTACACTCTCTTACAAAGAATTGTATAAAAGTATAAAGAAAGAGAGAGAGAAAAAGAGAGAGAGAAGGAAAAAGAATAAAAAAAAAAAAAAAGAAAAAAACAAATTTGTTTCTAATGAAAATCTACTTTATCGTCTGTACATAAACATCGTACTACCTTATCGACGATCGATATGATACTTCCGTTGTTATAATTTACCGACGTTACGTGTTAGGTCGATAAAGAAATTTCAGTATGGACGAGAACGAGGTAGCAGGTGCGCACATTATACACGCGATACGATATCTATATTGAAGTTTGACAATCCTGGCTCGTCGTTGTCCGTGCCACTCTAGTCATTTTCAGCAAAATGGGGGTACGGTAGGATGCATTCTTTCGTGTTAAATTGCGGGAAGAAACTGTGTCATTTCTAATATCTACGTTAATAATAAGTATCATTTGCGATTATGATGAGGTTATTCGAGGCCACTTAAAAAAAAGAAGGACGATTTTATAATAATTATTAGTTCGTGTTCGTTCATTCGTTCATTCGTTCGTTCGTTCGTTCGTTCGTTCGTTCGTTCGTTCGTTAGCAAAAATAAAAAATAAAAAGTAAAAAAAAAAAAAAAAAATAAAATAAAATAAAAATAAAAAAGAAAAAAAAAAGAAAAAAGAGAGAGAGAGAAAAAAAGTAAAAGGGAGAAAAAAAGAAGAAGAAAAAGAACAAAAAAATAGGAAGAAGAAAAAATTCGATCGAGTGCGTCAAGTGCCTAACTTCGTGTCGTCGTCGTCGTCGTCGTTGTCGTCGTCGTCGTCGTACGGTGGATTTGACACTTTGAAGAAAAAAAAAAACAACAAAAGGAAAAAGATACAAGGAAGAAAGAGAGAGAAAAAAAAAGAAAAATAGAAAAAGAACTCGCTGTATCGCACCTTCTTTCCCCCTCCCCCCATACCCGAACTCCCCTCCCCTCTCTCTCTCTCTCTTTTACATTTCTTTATATTCGTCTTATTTAACTTATTCTCCTGGGATATACGTTTTTTTCACGATCAATTAATTAATCGCATATTGAAGTTGTGTCGAAGCTCGTTATGTCTGGAAATCATAAGACGGTGATTAAGTGTCCTTCGGAGTACGTCAAGTTGAATATCGGTGGTTCGTTACATTATACGACATTGGGCACATTGCAAAAACATGACACGATGTTACGCGCCATGTTCAGTGGTCGTATGGAGGTTCTTACCGACTCCGAAGGTAAGATTAATTTATACGATCGAGATTACGATATTATACGAATATTTGAACGATATCATTTCTTTTTTTAACATTTTATCGTGATCACGAATAAATTACGATTCATCATTTTACTTTATGCAACAATATTTGTATTTATTTTTTACGACGAACGAACGAACGAACGTTCGATCGTATCGTGACCGTTCACCGTTCGGTCGCCATTTTTTCTATTCTGTTTTGATGTATTCAGTTTTCTCTCTCTCTCTCTCTCTCTCTCTCTCTCTCTCTCTCTCTCTCTCTCTCTCTCTCTCTGTATCTCTCTCTCTTTCTCTGTATGTGTATCTCTCTCTCTCTCTGTATGTGTATCTCTCTCTCTCTCCCTCCCTCTCTCTTAGTATATGTATCTCTGTCTCTCTCTCTCTCTCTGTATGTGTATCTCTCTCTCTCTCTCTCTCTTTCTTTCTTTCTCTCTCTCTCTACTCATATGACACTTTAAATATTAAAGTATAACATACTATATATCAATGATATATCATTAGTGTAATATTTTGAAGATTAGTTATATATCATGTGTAATTTATTAGAGATTAAAAATTTTACAATGATATCATTTGTTGAGGCTAAACATTTTAACATTATTTATTGTAAAGTATTTAATCTCTTTTTACATTGATTCAAATTATCTAAATCCATTGTTTTATTTGCTTTTTGATTTATTATTCATCTTATTTGTTTTAAGAACCAAAATGATCTTTATTAGAAAGAATGATTTTTTTTTATATATATATATATATTTTTTTTTTTTTATAATATACAGTCAGTGCACAGTTATTTTAGTTACATTATAAATTTGTCTATAGGATGGATATTAATTGATCGGTGTGGGAAACATTTTGGTACAATTTTGAATTTCCTAAGAGACGGCTCAGTTCCATTGCCAGAAAGTGCGAAAGAGATGGCCGAACTTTTGGCAGAAGCTAAATACTATTGTATCAGCGAATTAGCCGAATCGTGCGAGCAGGCACTCCTTAGGAAAGAACGCGAAGCAGAATCCATTTGTACCGTCTCATTAATAACGTCTCAAAGGGAAGAACAACTTCTTATAAGTAATACTGCTAAGCCAGTAGTAAAACTTATTATAAATAGGCACAATAACAAATATTCATATACAAGGTAGTATTAACAAATTTTTAGTTATATATATATATATATAATTTTTTTCCAAAGTGAGTAAGCCCATTCAAATAGTTAAAAAATAAATATATGTAATATTCTATCGTTCCAGTACATCAGACGACAATCTATTAAAAAATATAGAATTATTTGATAAAATGTCTCTTAGATTTAATGGTAGGGTGCTATTTATCAAGGATGTAATTGGTTCAAGTGAAATTTGCTGTTGGACATTTTATGGCCATGGTCGTAAAGTAGCCGAAGTATGCTGCCATTCAATTGTATATACAACCGATAAAAAACATACAAAGGTAAGATTTATACTCCACCCGGTATATATATATATATATATATATATATATATATATAATATATGAGAATCAAAAAAAAAAAAAAAAATATATATATATATTAAGAGCTTAATAACTTAAAATTTCTTGATATTCAGGTTGAATTTCCAGAAGCTCGCATTTATGAGGAAATGTTAAATATTTTATTATACGAGCATCGTAATGGACCTGATCAAGAATTAATGCAAGCAACGTCTTCTCGCGGTGCTGTAGGTGGTGCACCACCTTGTACATCCGACGAAGAAGAGGGTGAGCGTTCCGGTTTGGCTCGCCTTCGCTCCAACAAACAAAATACCAACTGACCCAACCTTACCGTCCTTAACCCGCAATATCCAGCAATCTGTACAATTTTTAATGTTGTTCGCTCTCTTAAAACTCGAACTAATATAAAATAGGATACATATATATATATATATATATGTATGATGTATGTATGTATATATGTATATATACATATACACACACGAACACACACACACACATATATATATATATATATATCAGTTAAAGACAGGAAATGCAACACATATGCATACGCTAAAAAAATTCAATGTTACGTGCCCTTGCTCCTTTTTCTCTATCTCTTTTTTTTCTCCTACATAAAAAAAGAATACGTAAACTATAATGCTAAAAAGTCCTCAACAAAATGACAGTCTATATCTCATTGAATTTTACATTGCAATAGTATTCTTTCTTTTTTCTTTTTTGTTGTTGTTGTAACGGTGTATCTTAATTCCTAACGTGTTTAGAATAGCATTTAAATTGATGTCAAAGCAGAATGACAAACTCATATTTAGATATATTCTACCTGTTTATCACTAAAGTAAAAATTGATTAGATTTTTTCAAACTTTTGTCAAGAAATGATATATATAAAAAAAAATATAAAATATATATATATATATATATATATATATATATATATATATATATACATACATACAGGAGATTAGATATCTAAGTACTTTTTATGTGCCAAACATTATATTACAAATCTAAATTGTCATTCTGCAATGAATGGAATTACTAAATTACAATGCATTTTATATCATATTAGAATTGCACTGTTACCTCTGTTATGAGTATTAGATATACTGTTATTATTATTACTTTTATTATTTCTATTATTATTATTAATATTATTAATATTATTATTATTATTATTATTATTATTATTATTATTATTATTATTATTATTATTATTATTATTATTATTATTACTACAATCATCATCGTCATTTATTGCTATTACCACCATCCCTGCAACTACTTTTCAATTAGTATTACTACTTTATTAATATTGTCATTACCATCATCATCATTATCATCACTATTGCTTTCAATGACTTTGTCATTTTCATTATCATTACGATTTATTTTTTGGTATTATTATTATTATTATTATTATTATTATTATTATTATTATTATTATTATTATTATTATTATTATTATTATTTTATTATCACTGTCATCATCATTGAACTTAATCATGAACTCACATATGCAAAATGAATTGTTAATTCCTCATCATGCATAGAGGAATTTATCAAATGAAATGCATATATTTTCTAATATTTGTGATAGAAACAATTTAATTATGTCGCAATTGTTGAAAAAGAAAAAAAAAAGGAAATAATGAATTTTATCTCTTTACTAATATGTAATTGTATTCTTCAGCAATGACGAGGTGCTTTAAGTTTTTTTTTTTTCAAGCTATTCTATAATTATTTCAGTAAGAGACTTAAAACAACTGATTGCTAATTTCGCGTATTTATTGATTTATTATTTACGCAGGAGCAATTTGTAGATTATATGATTTAATACATTTACGTTTTATAACTTAAATAATTTTGTACGTTCCTTTTTTTATTTTATTTTACTTTATTTTATTTTTTTTTTATTTATTTAACATGAATGAAACATCCGGCCTATTAGCTTTAATGATTTTTAACAATTTGTTTCAATCTAATTTTTTTTTTTTTTTTTTTAAATAAAAGGAAATTTTTCAAATGGAGTTCAATAGATTTAGATTTGCTAGTATTTGTGTTTATTTAACAGGAACATTATGCCTCTCTTGAACTATGATTGTTTAATAATTATCATTCAATTACTATCCCGTATCATATATTTTATTATTTCTGATTCTATAACATACATTTTTAACACTTTTGATTTATTATATATATATATATATAATATATTTATTTATTATATATACATATATATATATATATATATATAATTTAATGAATGAAAACTTTTTCTAAATTTCATTAGGATGCAAAGCATGAAGTTTTCTTTTTTTTATATATATATATATTTTTTTTTTTGAGTGCTTATACGTTTAAATAAAATATCAGGATCGTTGATTATTAAAAAGAAGACTGCAAACAATAATTCTTAGACTGCTTGAATAAAGCAAAGTTATAAATTTTATTTGAATTCAACAATAATTAACCATTAAGTGCTTTTCTTCTTTCTATTAGGTCGTTGCATAATTTCTCTGTTCTATTGTCATTAATTAAACATACATACTTTCACTTTTAAAGTCATATAAATTTTATCCAAAAAAAAAGAAAAAAGGAAAAGAAAAAGGAAAAAAAAAAAAAATAGAAATTATACAGCAATCTAATAGAAAGATTTTATACAAGCTTTATACAAGACTGTAGTAATGATAAAGATGAAAAATATTGATTGTATTAAATAGTTTTGTATAATTATCTTATTTTGATGATATAAAAAAAAAAAAAAAAAAAAAAAAAAGGTTGATGCAATATCATTAGGAATATTTGAAAAATATTAATATATAAATATTAATATATATTATCATTATCATTATTATTTTTATTATTAGTTAATTTTGTTATTATATAAATATAGCAATTTAATAACTTATTCTTCAAAGAATACAATTAAATAGAAAATATATAAGATTCAATGAAGTAAAATAATATATTTCTGAAGAAACTGATTTTAAGTTATTATAATATTGTTCTGTGGAAAAATTTATAAATATTTAAATACTTAGATATATGTATGGAAAATGTTTGGTACTTCTTATTACTACAGTTGATAGTATATTGCTATGTCCATTTTTAATGATATATAATATGGACGTATTATAATTTAACCCTTTTCTACCCTGATGTAATCCATGAGACTGCAACATTTAATTATGAAATATATATATATATATATATATATATATATATATATATATATATATATATATATATATATATATATAATTAATAAATCTGATAATTAATATAAAAATATGATGAGATCGTTTTTTCCATTCTTATTTGCATAATGGTAAAATCAATTATTTGTCTTTTATTAATAAAATGTTCAGAAAAATGTAACAGTCGTTAAATCTGGTTTGTTAAGGGTTGAATGTCCAATTATTACAATATAATTATTTTTATCATTTGAATTTGATCGATACTATATTTCTTAATATATTTATGTAATTATGAAAAATATTTTATACAAAACAGGTAAAAAAAAAAAAAAAAAAAGAAAAAAAAAAAGAAAAAGAAAAGAAATCAATCATTTTACAGGAAGTGGGGGCCAGTTATTGTATTCATGTAATAATGATTGATAATATTGACAGGGTGTTTTTTTGTAAATTATAATAAAACAATTATTACAGTATTACCAGATATTACTAATATCTGATTAATAATAATATATATATATATATATATATATATATATATATATATATATATATATATATTTATATATATAGTATATGCATAAGACATGAGATATAAAAATTTTAGACCATTCTTACGTGTAATATACGAAAATAAGTTAAATTTAGATAATAGATATCGTTATATATCAAAATGATTTTTAATAGAATGTTAAGTGAAGTAATATATATATATATGGATGTATGCACAGGTGGACAGGGACAGACAGACAGAGGGAGGGCGAGATTTAAATACATGCTGCAGCTAGAGAAGTGATTACAATTTATAAGAAAGGAAATATGTTGCTTATAATCAAAGATTTTTTTTTTTTTTTTTTTATTTATTGATAATTAACAAAAAAATTATGGTATATCTTTTATCCGAGCAGAGATTTATGATTCCGCAAAAAAAAGAAAAAAGAAAGAAAACGAAAAAAAAAAGGATCGTTGTGTGTCTAGAATAACACATAAAAGAAAAAAAGAATAAAAAAAAAAAAGAAGAACCTTGTAACATAATGTGT